GCCACCTCCCTGCGCAGAAGTCGCCCCACATGTCCTGGGGCAGCTGCAACAGCTGACGCGGGATGCGAGACACTGGGACGCGTCCCCTCAGTCCCTTGTCCGCGCGGTTGAGGTGGCCCACTGCGCCGTCGAGCCTCGAGACCGCGCGCCCTGGCCCGGTGCCCGCGCCGATCGCCCTCTCCGCCTCGTACTCGGAGATAGTCGTGCCCACGATGCCGTGGCCTTCGCGGCCCACCTCGCCGGCCCCCTCCGAGTCGGACGCGAGGGAGACTGGGGCGGCAGGGAGGTTTAGAACGCAAATCGTCATCGGAATCAGGTCACGCATGGCACGCACCTCTCGTCGCGGCGAAGCCCGCCATCGGATGGCCCGGCCATGTCTCCTCCATCGGGCCGAACACAGCGGCAGGCGCCGACGTGGGCTCGCGGCGGAGCAGAGCACCCCGCATCCACGCGCCCACGTGGGCCCGCAGGAGCTCCACATCCACCCAGAGCGTCTCGAGGACCCACGCGAGCGCCGACTCCAGATAGTTGGCCTCGGCACTGGCCAGCCTCAGGCGAGGCGGGGGGCACTGCAGCTCGTACCCCGCGATCTTCGAGCCCCCTGCGATCACCTCTGTCCTCCGCTTCTTCTCTAACTGAGCCTCCGCGGGGGCGAGCTGCGGTGCTCAGGCCGTCGCCCGCGTGGACGTAGACGGCCTGGGACCCAGGGCGCAACCGCGCGCTGCCACGCTGGCGGCAAGGCTCGTTCAGCACGTGGAGGCCCTCCGCGCACGCCCACTTCGAATGACGGGGCTTCTCCCGCCCTGTTCTGGGCCACCCTCCCGGCGCGCGCCCAGCGCCGAGCGTCCCGAGCGCAGTCCGCGCAACGCGCAAGGCGATCGTGCGGCGGAGACCAGGAGCGCGCGCACGTTGACGCCGCGAGCGGAAGATGCCTTTGGCGTTCTTCCCGCGCGCCTTCTCGTGGATATGCTTGCCGTCGCGGCGTAGGGCCCGGTCGCCGATCCCACCCAGGGTCGGGGCCAAGGTGGTCGGCTTCTGAGACGGCCCTCCGCGCGCGCACTGGTCGACGTTCGCCGGCGCCGCGCCGTGCCGCTCCAGCATGCCCTGGGCCGCGCCCAGGTCCCAAGTGCTGGGGGGGGCGGCCCCGCATGCGGGTCCACGGGGGTGATCCATGAGGCAGGCGCCTCCATGCTGTTCGACCGCGTCGCGCAATTCCCAAGAAATTGAACAGCAAAACGCTGGCGCCCATCACTCGCGCCCACCCCGGCCCCTCCAGGTCCGATCTTTCCAAGGGCAGATCTCGAAACCTCGGCGGCCTAGAGCCGCCAGGCCGAAAACGGGCGCGGCCTCGCGTCGAACGCGGAGGGCCCCCCAAGATAATAGAATTCACACCATCTTCCAGCGCCCCAAGCAACCCTGATGCCCAAGAGGGACCGGACAAGTCCCAGCGGCAATCAGAAGCCAAGTCCACTCCAAAGTAGAACAAAGGCACTCCATACTCCTCCGCCAGCTCCTCCACATAGCGCGGCAGATCCAACCTCCTGCGACCGCCTGCGAACGCACGCAGCACCATCGCGATTCGGTCCTTGCCTCGCTTCAGGAAGCGGGCCTTCTCCCGAAACTGATCCGGCGGGAGTCCTGCTTCCTGGCGCTGCATGCCACGTTGCTTCTCCTTCTCCGTCACCCGCTCGACGTCCTCGGTCGCGGGCTCGTCAGGGAGGTCCGCCCTGCGGCTCGCCCCCCGCTCACTTTTGGCCGCCGATATCGATGTTGACGCTCGTCAATATGTGTGCCGCATGCGACAGCCCCATGGGTAGTCTCGCGTAGCAGGGACACACAAAGGACCACTCGTGTAGCCTCGCGCGCATGTCCTCCTCTAGTAGTGACCGCGCCGCTGCTGCTGGAATCGCCGGCGTAGCCGCCCATGCCCGCGCCCAACTCTGGGCGCGTAACTGACGAGAAAGCGATGCTCTCATCACATCTGGCCACGCGCAAATCCATCCAAGGCGCGCGCGTGAGTGCGAGCGCCCCTCCACCCCCGAATCCGCGGTCGCCTCTCCGACGCGCGCCGCTCCAGAGGTAGATGGTCGGCGCCGCCGTGATGGGCTTTCGCGGCTTGTGCCCGCCCTTTTCCAGCACCGCCGAAACTCCGTTGATCGCCTTCGCCTCGCTCCTCTCTTTGAAGACCCACGGCCCTGGAGGAATGCCCCCCCGACGCAGGTGCTCGATCCACTGCTCCGCCTGGCCGCCAAAGAGCCAGAACTGACTCTCGAGCTCCTCCACGCGGCGGCTGGTCTCCCCCTCGAGCCGGCAAAGTTCCCCCCCTTACTGTGGCGCGGATCTTCATCGCGAGGGCGCGCCTCTAGCAGGGGGGCCACCCTCGTCGATGTCACCTCCTCCACCCTGCGAGCAATAATCTCGACGTGGACATCCCCCCCGCGCGCTCTCCCATCGCCTAAATGATCCATCTTGAGAAGCTCGCGTGTCGATCGTGCGCCTGTCGCCGGGGGCGGCCGGCGAGCGCGGGGCTGGCCCTCGGCGCGCTGGATAGCCCGCCGCTGGGCCTGCCCTGCGGCAGAACCCCCCATCAACTCACTGCGCAACTTCTGCTGCAGCAGTGCAGTCTGGCGCTTCAGAGTTCCAGAGTAGGTCGCACTCAATGCTCCCACGATCCGATTGGCCACCTCTCGCACATTCTGCTTCCGTCTGAGCCGTTGCCGCAGCGGCCCCGAGCGAACTCCCACTCGATCTGGTCGAGGAAGAAGAGGGGCGGGCAACGCTGCTTGACCGCTACGCAAGGCGGAGACCACTTTCAAGAGAGTTGGGAACCCAACGTGCGAACACACCACCTCATCATCACTCGGCGTCTCAACTTCCACTCGCCAACGATCCTTCATCAGGTACTGCCGCTGCCCACGTGGGGCGCCTGGCACCCCCCTGCCCCGCGGCTCGGGACAGGGGGGGGGGGGGCGGCCGTCAGGCCGCGTCACCTCCCTTCTTCGGGCCGCGCCCGCGACCACCTCCCTTGTCGCTTCGATCTCCTTTGGCCGCGGGCCCGCGTCGAAGTCCAGCCGATGCGCGTTCAGCTCGCTGTTGCCCCATATTGACGTGGAAGGTCACCTCCGTGATGAGCCAGCTCGGCGCGATGTCAGGCCCACTGCCAGGGGCTGTGACAGCCCGCAGTCTAGCCGCGCCCGCCTCGTCGTGGGCCCTGGCCTCGTGCGCGTACCTGGAAGGTGACGTAAGGTGATCTCCTCATTGTCATTCGTTGTCAACACGATCATGAGCTCCTGGTCGTTGGTACTGCCCAGCTCGAAGTTCAGAGCCGATGCCACCGACCACAGCCCTTGCCGCTGATCTCCATCTCGATACCCCTGGTACTTCTGCTGCAGCCAATGTCGTACACTTGTGCTCCCTGCTGCCCTGATGTTCCTATAGATCTCGACTCCAGCTCGCTTGAAGTCGGGCGGCAGGGCGTGGGCCCATGCATCTACCTCGGCACCTCCAGGACCGGCCGCTGGGCCGCCAAAGCTTCCGTCGAAACCACTGGACACGCCGAGGCTTTCGAAATCCGACAATAGAGTCTCCAACATCGGGGGGTGAGCGAGTGACTGGGCCGACGTGGCCTCTGGCCACGAGAACAGCTCGTACAGCCGGGTCTGAACGTCCTGCCATGTCCGCCACCGCCTGCGAGAATTGTTGCCCCCACCACGGGTTGGTACTGGCACCTGCATGCAACTTCAGGAACATCTCCTTCTGCTATGTGGCGCACGCGGCGGCGGTCTCCGAAGCCTGGCGCCCTGGCCCGCCAGGGCCCACGGCGCCAGCGGCACCCACCTGGGGGGCAGTCGCCTGGGGGGCCTTGGGCAGCCCCGCTCTGGGTGCAGCCCCCGTCCACGAGTACGGGCCCGCGTCCTGCACGCCGAGGCCGAACGCGTGGAAGGCATCCATGGACTGGTCCGCCGCTCCTGCAAGCACGCCCGGTACCGGTGGAACCGCCAACCCTGGCGGAAAGGCTGCAGGCGAGGGGTGTGGCGGCAGCGAGGGTGCCGCAGTGCCTTCCGTGTGCTCCCCCGCGCCGCCTCTGGCCTTCCCCTCCAGGCGCATCTGTTCCAGCTGAGCCCTCAGCGCCTCAACCTCATCCTGGCTGCCACGCAAGAAACTCCACCACGCTCGCAGGCAGCGGATAAGGCCCCACAGCAGCGCGACACAGATCGTGAAGCCTCCAACCCCCAGGCGCACCACGCTGCCACGGTCCGTGTGAGCGCTGAGCGCCAGGCAAACGATCAGGCAGCCCCGACCGCGCGTGGGCCCAGCCAGCGAATGAGGCCGATCACCCAGCTTGTCTCGGGGCCCTCGGCAGCGCCAGGATCCGAGCGAGGAGGGGCCATCAGCATGTCTTGGACATCAAAAAACTTCCCTGGATGGTCACCGCGCGAATGGCCCCTTAGGCCGTCATCGTTCCGTTGACCCATAATAGCTATGAGGCACAGGTTACTGCATGAGTTGATGGACCAGGCACTATACATTAATACACATTCGCGAACTCCCATACAAACAACACACCATCATATCAACATACCAACATACCAACATACATACATACATACATACATACATACATACATACATACATACATACATACATGCATACATACATACACACATACATACACACATACACACACACATACATACGTACATACATACGTACATACATACATACATACATACATACATACATACATACATACATACAGACATACATACATACGTACACAGATACACACATACATGCATGCATGCATACGTACATATGTCTTTACACGTGCGCGCATGTGCAAATGCACCGCCCCCGGCCCCCCCGTGCACTCCCCCATTCCATCACCCCCCTGCCCCACCCCCTCCGTGCCCCCCTCCTCTCCAAAACCCCCCTCTCCCGCCTCACGCCTCCATCCCCATTCGCTCCTCTCCAGGCCGGGCGCACGGCGAGCGAAGGCCTTCCCGCCGCGACCGATGGGCGTCTCCGGGAGCGAGTTGCGTGGCCTGCCAGGGCGCTCCGTGTCTCTTTCTCTCTTTCTCTCTTCCTCTCTCTCTCTCTCTCTCTCCTCTCTCTCTCTCTCTCCTCTCTCTCTCTCTCTCCTCTCTTCCTCTCTTTCTCTCTCTCCTCTCTCTCTCTCTCTCTCTTCCTCTCTTTCTCTCTTCCTCTCTCTCTCTCTCTCTCTCAGGACGAAAACCCTGGAGGCCTCGCGCGGCAACTTGAGACCCGATCCACGTCGGATCCACGTCGGATTCACGTCGGGTTCACGTCGGACTACGTCGGATTTACGTCGGATTTACGTTGGACTGACCCCGGAGCATCGCCGCGCGAGCGTCGACCCATAGCTTACGGAGTTGACGTGTGGACTAGATAAGACTACTATTACGCGCCGCGCGAGGCCTCCAGAATGTTCATGATAATCTCTCTTTTTTTCGTTCTTTCTCTCTCTCTCTCTCTCTCTCTCTCTCTCTCCTCTCCCAGAACAAATAGCACTGAACTCAGGGTCCGAAAAGAATGAGGGTACACCCCTTTTGCGCACTTCTGCGGCCCAAGTGCACAAATCACGCGCTCCGCACCACGTGCATGTGGAATGATAAGCACGACGATCTTGAAAACAACTCTTGAAACGAATACGGATACTTGCGCACTTCTGCATCCCAACAGCACGAAACACATACTCAAGCGAATCGACCATCAAGCTCCAAGCTGCAAGCCTTCTTTGTTCTTACTTAACGCTGTACAGAGCCAATGAGCCGCCACGCAAGTCGCGCGCTGAGGCACATAAAGACGCCCCAAAGCATCCAGGAGGCCCCAAGCATATTGATGTGTTACTTCGACGTTGTTCGCGGGCCCTGGCATTTTGCTTAGACGGCTCGCAGAAACCCAGGAGGGCAAAAAGAAGCCCCTAGCACGATCCTCGACTGCCCGAAGTATTTCCCTACGCGGTGCCAGGATCCCCCACGCCCCCCACGACGGCTTCACGATGACACCCAAACTGGATAATTAAGAAAAAAAACATAAATAAACTGGTGGCGCTCCACACGGATTTCTTGGATCTGCGCTGGACCCCCTCCCTGGCGCGCTCCGCGCGCCAGGGGCAGCGCCGGAGGCGCCGCTGGGGGAGCCCCGCGCAGATCCAAGAAATCCGCGCGGAGCGCCAAACACTTATGTTTACGTCGTTTTTCTTCTTCGACGACACCAATACAAGTCCAGACGGCCACAACGCTGTTCCACCAAGCCCATCCGGGACATCGGCGGACGTATCGGGCCCACGACGGTCCAAAACACCTAGTGGGGCGCAGAGACCTGCGGGCACCCCACGGAGCTGCGGCCCGACCGAGCCTCTGCGGGAGAAGCTCGGCTCGGACGCACGCCAACATGGATGACGGATCCGCCGTGGATCTTGCGAGTGGGCTACAGATCCAGGGATCGGGGCATGTGCCGCCCGAAGCGTGAGGCCAATGCTGACTGATTTGGCGACGGAGAGCGCCGATTCTGCAGAATCGGGACCCGTCGCAAGTCCACACACCTCAGTTCATGTCTTCGCTCCCTCGAAGAGCCACGGCCCCACCGAGCCTCTGCGGGGCGAGCTTGGCAAAGCCCACTGGCATGCGGAGGATGCGGAGGGAGGCTGTCAGATCAGAATTCGGATCTCCTGCAGCCGTCCAGACGCCTCGGGCGCACCAGGAACGCTCTCGGCGAGGCGCAGCTGCTGGAACGCATCCCAAGGCCAGAGAAACTCCGAGAGCGGACGAAAACGTCGGAAGCCCTCTCCCCCCCAATAGCGACCGACCGACCTCCGAGAGGGTCATGCATTTCGACGCCTCGCTGGCGAGTTGGTAGTGTCTGCCGCAGGCAGCCTGAGAAATCTGCTCTGGACGCCCCCCCTCGGCGGATCCGCTGCGCCACCGTGGCGGCTTGGCAACTCCGCTCTCCCTCCTCCAACTCCTCCTCCTCCGCCTCTCCTCCTCCGCCTCGCCTCCTCCTCCTCCTCCTCCTCCTCCTCCTCCTCCTCCTCCTCCTCCTCCTCCTCTCTCCTCCTCCTCCTCCTCCTCCTCCTCCTCCTCCTCCTCCTCCTCCTCCTCCTCCCCTCCTCATCTCCTCCTCATCCTCCTCCTCCTCCTCCTCCTTTTCCTTCTCCTTCTCCTTCTCCTCCTCCTCCTCCTCATCCTCATCCTCCGCCTCCTCCTCGTCCTCTTCCTCATCCTCCTCCTGATTGTTATGACGTGCCACCCCGCGAATGCGGATAAGATTTGAGGGGGCGGCGATGACGCCAGCAGTTTGCGAGGCTCTGAAGAAGCTCGCCACAGGCGCCTAAATCTTACAGCGTATGCAGTGAACCCGCCTCAGGCGCCAATCTCTTCGTTACAGCAATGTGGGTGGGTCGGAAGGTGGGTCGGAAGAAAGGTCGCGGGTGGGTGGCCCAAGTCGCGGGTGGGTCGCGGGTGGGTTGCGGATCGCGGGTGGGTCGCGGGTGGGTCGCGGGGTGGTCGCGGGTGGGTCGCGGGGCGGGTCGCGGGGGGTCGCGGGTGGGGAGCGCGCGGCGGCGGGGTGGGCGGGTGGGTCGCGGGTGGGTCGCGGGTGGGTTGCGGGTGGGTCGTGGGGTGGGTCGCGGGGTGGGTCCTGGGTGGGTCACAAGTGGGTCGCGGGTGGGTCACGGGGTGGGTCGCGGGTGGGTCGCGGGTGGGTCGCGGGGTGGGTCGCGGGTGGGTCCCGGGTGGGTCGCGTGGTGGGTCGTGGGGTGGGTCGTGGGTGGGTCGCGGGTGGGTTGCGGGTGGGTCGTGGGGTGGGTCGCGGGGTGGGTCGTGGGTGGGTCACAAGTGGGTCACGGGGTGGGTCGCGGGTGGGTCGCGGGTGGGTCGCAGGTGGGTCGCGGGGCGGGTCGCGGGTGGGACGACGCCAAACAGCAGCAGCAGCAGCAGCAGCAGAAGCAGCAGCAGCAGCAACAACAACAACACCAGCACCAACACCAACACCACCACCACCACCACCACCACCACCACCAACAACAACAGCAACAACAGCAACAACAGCAACAGCAACAACACCAACACCACCACCAACAACAACAACAACAACAACAACAATCACTTTACCCGAACGCTCAGTGTTCTCACCAGTGCCAGGGTTTTCATGCGACGCCAGCCAATACCCCCACTTTGTGGGGGGGCAGTGCAAGCTCTACCAAATATCCACACGACTCTTCGCCACCACCCACACCCAGCTTCCCGCCCTATGACGTTCGGACACTTCACTTCGTGGCCTGCGGACGACCGTGGCTACTACACTGGCGTGGAGTACACACCCACAGAAGTTGTTAAGCCTACGTTCGTACACCCACAGAAGTTGTTAAGCCTTGTTAACCCACAGAAGTTGTTAAGCCTTCCACAGAACATCTGTTGCATATGATGCATATGGTACATGATACACATGATACACATGATACGTACTCACAAGATAGTTGATCACATCTTTAGGGCAAATTCCTGAGGGATGTGGGAATACACAAGAGAGAGAGGATATGGTTGTCCCGATGGTTGTCTCGATGGTTGTCCCGATGGTTGTCCTGATGGTTGTGGTTGTGGTATTATTTGACAGGGATGATGGCCCTGGCAGGTGCGCAACCGTTGTCGCAGAAGTTCGAAAAAGTTGCTCGCAAAAGCCCGTTTGACAGAAATGTTTAAAAAGTGTTGGGTTTCCTACGAATCCGCAAGAGCGCGCGGGATGAGATTTTGACATTTTTTTGTTGAAAAACCATTGGTTTTTTGATGTTTTTATGTTAAAATCGCTTCCGAACACTAAGCTTTTGGAAGGATTTCGTCTTGCGCGCGCGAGTGTCCACTTTACCTTATTTTTTGCAAGGGATTCTTGAAATTTGATTATATTAGAACAAGAAATGTCATTTTATAGTGTTTTTTGCAAAGGAAAACGGATTACAACAAAACAACCGGATCTGGATCACATCGTTTTACCTGAGGCTTCCTCACGAAAATGATGAAAATGTAGCTGCGGCCTAGGCGCGGCGGGGGGGGCGTGCACCAGGGGGCCCAACAATAATTATTCTTTAGAAGTAATAATATTCAACAACAACAACACCAACAACAACAACAGCAACAGCAACAGCAACAGCAACAACAACAACAACAACAACAACAACATCAACACCAACAGCATCAACAACAGCAACAACAACAACAACCAACAGACAACAAACAACAAACACAATAACAATCCGCCAGCCCCCTTGCGGGACCATCAGGCTGCGATGATTAAGCTTGCTGCTCCCTGCACCAGTTCCAATTTCCATTGTTACAGTATTGCCTTCTGCTTCCTACTGAAAATTGTTACTGTCCGCGCGAGGGGGGAGCCGAAAACCAGCCTGGTTAGCGTCCCCGGGAGGGTTCTCAGAATTCCTGGGGAGTAAAAATTGGCACCCCTCACGCAGATCGGCGGGGTCAGGGTCCAAAAACATATAGGGAATTGTCGCGTGTTTTAAATCCGGTGGCACCCCTCACGCAGATCGGCGGGGTCAGGGTCAAAAAACACAAGGTATTTGCCAAATTTCTAAAATTCGGTCGCACCCCTCCTCAAAACGGCGGGGCCGGGGTCCAAAAACACATGGGATTTGCTACATTTCTGAAATCTGGTGGCACCCCTCACGCAGATCGGCGGGGTCAGGGTCCAAAAACACAAAGGAATTGCCGCATTTTCTAAAAATTCGACGGCACCCCTCAGGCAGATCGGCGGGGTCAGTGTCCAAAAACACACGGGGAATTGCCGCATTTTTGAAATTCGGTGGCACCCCTCACGCAGATCGGCGGGGTCAGGGTCCAAAGCCACATGGGATTTGCTACATGTCTGAAATTCGGTGGCACCATATGCAAATCGGCGGAGTCAGGGTCCAAAAACACAAGGGATTTGCCACATTTCTGAAATTCGGTGGCGCCCCTCACGCATATCCGTCGCCCGAATCGAGTCGGAGCGCTCCCGTCGCCGGAATCGAGCC